CTTTAAGACGGCTTATCAACTTCTTGAGAAGAATTCTAAGAAGAAAGTAAACCTACAGACATCGGTCTTGTTTAACAAAATCTGCCTACAAAATGGTATTATAAATATCTTCTCAATAGGTCATCAGATTTTTACAATACTACATAGGGTTTACTTTTATAACAATATCTATGTAATGACTGAGCCACAAGTTTTGGAAATTTCTGTAAATATCACAGCAAAATATTTGAATTTCTTGTTATCCTTTTTTCTGTTTCTTTTTTTATTACATGATAACTCAAAAATCAAACAATAGTTTCAGCCAATTTCATCAAGGTGACATAGTTTCGTATGGTATATCTGCTTTTGTAAGTATTATTAATAACTAGCAGTAATTTAAAAGATACCATTATTCTAATATAAATGATGTTATCATTACCCCCTTGAAGTAAGCTTTCTTATAGAAATTTGGTGTTCTTTTAAAAACTTTAAGGACAGGGTGAGACAGGAATAACCAGCCAATAATAGATAGACAATAAATATTACTGTTGGAACCTCATTGTAGTGAAAACTTGGTTGTAAATACAATCTTCCTATGTCTATTGAAACAAGGCATTAAAAAACCAAACAAGGAAAAACTTTCAAAAAAAAAAGAAAATGTAGAGATGGCTAATACCAATCCTTGGAAAAACAATGCAAATAAGATAGTAGGGATGGCATTTGCATGATCCATACATAATAACACAGGCATACATTGTAGTAGAATATTAACAGACAAAAACAGGATAAATTAAACTCAATTGTGATTGAATAGTTTTATATATATATATATATATATATATTGCTACATGTTAATCCTTGTGTGTGCTGTTATATAGAGATGATGCAAATACCATCCATACTATCTTGTTTGCACTGTTTTGGAAGGTTGTTATTAGCCATCCCTACATTTACTTCCTTTTTTGAAAAGTTTTTTCTCAGTTGTATTAACCATACGAAAACAGTAGGCAGTGCTACATAAATTATACTAACTATACCAAGACAGCATACAGTGCTATTCAATTTTTATTTATACCAAAGTTACTGTAGCAGTGCTGCTACAGTAACTATAATAACTATACCAAGGAAACATGGAGTGTTACAACAATTATATTAACTATATCAAGACAGCATGCAGTGGTAGAGTAACTGGATTAACAACAACATGGCAGCTAGATTTCTATGCTAATTATATAAACTATACCAAGACAGCATGGACTGCTAGAATAATTATATTAATTATTTCAAGACAGTATGCTGTAGTTTTTTTGTTTGTTTTTTTCCCATAGTCCTTGCGGACCGTCGAGCCGATGGCAGATCTTGCTCTGCCATCGTTTCTAAAGCTGTTTCTTACGTCAAGGATGCAACCCACTTGACAGCCTTCCCTCTTTGAAAGGACGAGCATGTTTGGTAGTACAGTAACTATATTAACTAAACCATATTAGCATGCAGTGATACGGTAATTGCATTAACCATAAGAAAGCAACGTGTATTTCTCTGCTAATTATATAAACTTTGCGAGAGAGCAGGCAGTATTACACTAATTATATTAAGTATACAAAGACAGCAGGCAGTTCTACATTAATTCTATTAAATATACCAAGAAAGTATGCAGTTCTACATTAATTATATAAAATATTCCAAGAAAGTATGCAGTTCTACACTAATTATATAAAATATTCCAAGGCAGATTGCAGAGCTACTCTAAATATATTAATTAAATCAAGGAAGCATGGAGTGTTACAGTAAGTATAATGTTAACTATACCAAGACAGGTTTGAGTGGTACAGTAAGTATAATGTTAACTATACCAAGACAGGTTCGATTGTTACAGTAAGTATAATGTTAACTATACCAAGACAGGTTCGAGTGGTACAGTAAGTGTAATGTTAACTATACCAAGACAGGTTCAAGTGTTACAGTAAGTATAATGTTAACTATACCAAGACCGGTTCTAGTGTTACAGTAAGTGTAATGTTAACTATACCAAGACAGCAGACAGTGCTCAGTTATTATATTAACTATAGCAAGTTAGCATGTAGTTCTATAGTAATTATATTACCTATAAATAGGAAAAAAAATTAAAATTTTAACAGAAAGTAGGGATCATTGGTTGTTCGTACAATTACTATAAGCAGTATCCAATACAAAATAAATGCTGTTATAAAAAACACACAACCAAGTAAAGTGATAATAGTTGGACAGATTTTTAAATAATTTTCAATCCCTACTTTGGTTGGCAAACTTAGACTGCTTCATTTAGCTGTACGGATTACAATGCCAACCAAAGTAGGGATTGAAAGTGATTTAAAAATCTGTCCAACTATTATCACTTTATTTGTTTGTGTACGTTTTATAACAGCATTTCTTTTGTTTCGGATACTGCTTGTAGCAATTGTACAAACAACCAATGATCCCTACTTCCTGTTAAAATTTTTATATATTTCTTTCCCGTGTATAAGTTCGGTTTTTATGTATGCATGCATGGAATGGACACAATGTCTATAAATGTTCAGTATAGCTATATCCCTGAGAGCTATAACTTTTACTAGAATTAAAACCACAATCACAACTTTATAAAACATAATCCTTACATTGGCCAACAGATAAGTGCATAAAACTGCCAAAGTAACAGTTAAGTTTTATAAATTTGTGATTGTGGTTTTAATTCTTGTTTCATTACTTTTTATAGCAGGATCCCTACTTCATTTTAATATCATAGTTTTTAATACTCTTGTTTGTTGACTTTTTATGTTATACCTGTATAAAGTATATACTTGATCTTTAAAAACTGTTTTGTATCAATCATCAATACAAAGCGTCATCTGTTGGGTTGAATTCGATTGGAAAGATATATAAGTACGTACATGATACATTTACCATTTATAAAAAAATCTATATATATTTCTCGGAATATCAAAAGGGGATACCCACAGACCAGTCAAGTAAGCTGGAGATATCTGGTAGCAGTAGTCCAAGCCATCTAGGGGCTAGCTCCGCTGACGTGATCAGGTAGATAGGTAGGTAGTAGACAAAGAAGTTGCTGTTTTAGAAATTTTTGGATTGTTATACCGAAAACTTTAGCAAGCAACCTTTTTAATGTAATATTAGTACATATGTGCATAATATATTGTAGCCAATACTTTGAAGGGGCAGTTTCTCACTTAGGAATTCAATAGGGTGGGTTTTTGGCACATGAATTATTTGGAAACCTTGTCAGTTCCTACTATTAAGTACTATCGTACTTAATAATACCAAGACATCATGTAGTTCTACTCTAATTATATTAACCATAACAAAACAGCAGGCAGTGTTACAGTAATTATATAGCTTTATCAATACAACATGCAGTTCTACACTAATTATATTAATTATACCAAGGCAACATGTAATTCTACACTAATTATGTTAACTCTATCAAAACAGCATGTAGTTTTACATTTATTTTGTTAATTACACCAAGTCAGCTTGAAGTTCTACACTAATTTTGTTAAATATACCAAGGAAATGTTCAGTTCTTCAATTACATTAACTACACAAAGAAAACATGTAGTTCTACATTAATTTTGTTAAATATACCAAAGCAATGTTCAGTTCTTCAATTATATTAACTACACAAAGACAACATGTAGTTCTACACTAATTATATTAACTATATCTAGACAACATGCAGTTCTGCACTAATTATATTAACTATATCTAGACACCATGCAGTTCTACACTAATTATATTAACTATATCTAGACACCATGTAGTTCTACACTAATTATATTAACTACACCAAGACAGCATGCAGTGACAGAGTAATCGTATTAATCATAAGAAGGTAGTATGGAGTTTCATGCTAATTATATAAACTATACCAAGGCAGCAGGCAGAGCTATAGTAATTATATTAACTGTACCATGAAAAAATGCAGTGTTGTAGTAGTTATATTTTCTATACCAAGAAAGCCGGCAGTGCTAAATTAATTATATTTACTATAGCAAGGAAGCATGCTCTTCTATGTTAATTACATTCACTATCAAGACAGCATGCAATTCTAAACTAATAATACTACCTATACCAAAACAGCATGCAGAGTTACAGTAGTTATATTAACTATAATAAAACATGCAGTTGTACACATAATAATATTAGATATACCAAGGTAGCTTTGAGTGTTATAGGAATTATATTATGTATATCAAGAGAATATACAGTGCTACACTAATTATATAAAATATTCCAAGGCAGCATGTAGTGCTACAGAAATTATATTAACTATACAATGACAGCATGTAGTTCTACACTAATTATATTAATCATACCAAAACAACATGCAGTGTTACAGTAATTATATTAACTATACCAAGACTGGATGGTGTTGTGCACTAATTATATTAACTGTACCAAGGCACCTTCAAGTGTTACAGGAAATATATTAACTTTACCAAGATAGCATGTTCTATATTAATTTTATTAACTATACCAAGTCAGCATGCAGTTTCACACTAATTATATTAACTGTGCTGTGACAGCAGGTAGTGCTGCAGTGATTCCAAACATACTTACCTCCCTCACACTACAGCTATTACTCAACTGGTAGGGTTTCTTTTCCTTTGCCCATCTAAACTGGTTTGATTTTTTCTAACTTGCTCCAGTCTGCAGGGGGCTCTGAGGCTGCACATGCAAGTTATCCTGGACATTCTGAAGAGAATTTAGATTTGCTTTCTCCAGTGCCTTTCATTACTCTGTCGGCTTCTCATGAGGCCAATTTGAATCAGCTGCTTTTCTTCAGCTGATAAATTGAGTGTGTGGTGTTTTAGGTCTTTCCCTGGTTGCTATGAGTCTGTGCTTGATATTATGGTTCAGGCAGGGAGGTTTACTGTTTAGTTATGTGAAGGGACAGCTGTGCCTTGTCTGCCATGTTTACCAGTACCACATGCTTTAGCCTACCATTGTCAGATGGAAGCATATTTAGAATCACAGACAAGAGACCCACTCCTGGAAATGTGAGGTTCCAGAATGGAGTCTGTGGTCAACCTGAATATATCACAATTTTCTAGGATTTTTTTTTATCATAACTATGATGCTATTATAATCCCTACACCTTTTTTCAGAAGCTTTTTATGATCACCACATCAATTTGATGACTAGTTGGAACCATTGTTAACATTCATCTTGGTTTGATTGTCAACTTCTGCACTTTCCCTAGTCTCTTGGCTAGTATGTTATTGGGATTTTTTGGGTAGATATGCATTATTGGTGGTCATTCGTTTACCTGCTGCCACTGTCCATGAGCTACATGAAGCCTCTTTTCTCCAACCATTGATTTTTGCAGGCATTCCAGAGTCTTTGGAATCAAGGTTTGATGTTGTCCGTCTACATTCATCCCTGTCATCATTGGTTGCTCACCTTCCCTCTGCTCTTACAGGGGTCATAGTTCTGCCCCTATATGAGTGTCCCAACCCCTGACATCAGCCCTTCAATTCATTGGCACCCAGAATAGATTCTGCCCATATCCACGAGGTTCCTCTGCTTGGTTGGAATGCTGCCAGTGGTGGCAGTGACTACCGTATGTATGCCTTTGGTGTCTGTTGGGGTTTGGCTCCCAGAATTTCTGGATGTATGGAAAACCTTTACCATGTGTCCATGGGTACTACAGGTTCCTGCATTGGGATTAGTCATTCAGTTCACATACCACCATCATTATCCCCTCAACCTGTAGGGTTTTTCTCTCCTGCAGATCCTCGGCTTTTGGAACCTCATTCCATGGCTAGCAGAAATTTGTTGGTCAGGGGGTCAGTGGAGAAAACCATTCCAGTTCTTTCAGGGTTTTGTTCCCTTCGGACTAGCATTAGTACCATATGTGTTCTGCCAAATCATACAAACTTTTTCTCATCACCTCCATTCACTGTACACACACCATTGCATGGACAACTGGCTACTGCTGGTACCATCTCATTATTTAGCAGAATGTTACACCCAGATACTGTTTTCTGAAGCAACCAATGTAGGATTTCCTATGATAGCCAAAAAATCTATTCTCACTCCAACACAATATATCATCCGTTTGGGGATCTGGTATGTGGACCTCTCCCAATACTTTTATCTCACATTATATATTAACTACATCTGCTAGATTATAAAGAGGGGCAAGTATTTTCATTACTAATCTCATATCTTCTTTTCTTTCCAGGGTCCCTTACCTCTATTTCACAGGATTCCACTCTGTGGTGAGTGTTGCCCAGTAAGGTGTGCATTTATGAAACCAAATCTGCACTAGCGACCACTAACACAATATACTTTAACTAGGTTGCAACAGGCTCTGTAGAAATGAGGTGTTCAATAAGACCACCTAGAGGCAGACTGGGTGGTATTACTGTACTATGCTGAACTGACACTCATCAACTATCATGAGTAAAGCAAATAGAATCCTGCCCAATCCTGCCAATCAGTGGATTGCATAAATTGGGGTCAGTTTGCATTTAAAAATTTAGGTAACTTGGTTCACCTATTGTACTGTTTCCAGAGCATTGTTCCTCAGGAGTCCTTACCACTCCTGGTTTCCAGTCAGTGGTGTGGTGGACAGAGGTTAATCCTCTAGAGTTTTTGAGTAACTTTCCTCCATTCTTGGGGAAGAGGGCAAAGTTGGGGGGGGGGGGCCTCCTACCTGGGACCTTGTATGTTTTCTCCAAAATGTCATAAGGAGCATTACCGACGTATGCAAGAACCTACTCTTCATACCAGATCAGATTTGATGCTCAACTGTTTGGTTGGGTTGAGTATGGCCCTTCTTTTTTTTCAATATTGGCTCAGTACACTATTCATGGAATAGGGTCTATTGTTTCCTCATAATTCCGAATGCAGAATGGTCCCATCCTGGGTCCTTGGTTGATCACAGTTTGTTCCACGTCCTCTCCATAATTCAGGAGGGGCATGTGGAATATACCTTTCCCACATTGTTGGGGAGTGAGGAAGAGTGTTCATAATTCTAGACCAGATGAGTTCTGTTTCCTAAGTATGGCATACAGGATCCCATCATTCCGAGTTTGGGGTTTTGCTTTTCAAACTTCTTCAGGTTGAGGAGTTGGTTTGTCCACTTCAGTGTTGCTTACTTTCTCATCAGGATTCTGTGGCTCAGAACACATCACTATAGCTATAGGTTGTTGGGATCCACTCTTAAATATATATATATATGTTGCAATCCAAATGCCCTAGCTACCAATGTGGGATTTAGGCGCCATGGCCCTATAATTCCAACCTCAAATAGTGGGACCCTGGCTACCTGGTTGCACTCACAGTACATGATTTAGGTTCTAGGTGAAGAGCATACCTGTTCTGGATGTAGTGCGGTTCCCCCACTAGAGTGCTAATCTTCTGTTGACACACACATACGATCTAGACAGATGCATTATGTATGGATAATACCCTCACTGGCCCCCCAACCTTATCAATCTGGGATTCTGGCTGTAGTGTGAGAGAGGATACGTATGTTTTGGAAGTTAGCATTTTATTAAATCGAAAATGTATTTATGATAATACTTACCTCTTCTAACACTTTCCTACCCGTTAAAAGTTTGTGTTAGAGACTGCAAATTTGGTCATTGTCAAAAATGTGACAATATTATCTGAAGGAGGTGCTTATATACAGTACTAGGATAGAGGTCACACTGACATAGGTGGAGAGTGTCACCAGACAGATATTGCCAAGAGCAATTAAGTGTGGAATAAATGAATGAAGCAAGCAAGAAAAAATCAGACCAATGCTCTGATCAGCAAAGGAAAAGAAACCCTAACATTCTAGTATTAGGTGTAGCGTGAGAAGAGGTAAATATTATTGAAAATACATTTTGGATTTAAGAAAATGTTAACTTATATTAACTAAATCTGGATACCATGTAGTTCTACACTAATTATATTATTTAAATCAAGACAGCAGTTAGTGTTACATTTATTATATTAACTAAACTGTGTTAGCATGCAGTGATACAATGATTGTATTAACCATAAAAACAGCATGCAGTTCTACAT